AAAACTTTCGGAGTTTCTTATATAATATTTTCTTTTTATGTAAGGAAGTACATAAATATATAAATATATAAATAATAAATTTAAATAAATAGTATTAAATGTCTTTTAATGAGATTTTTAAGCGAAGCTCAAACTCTGATGGAATTACTGTTTTATTGATCAGATTTTTATATGTGCATTATATTAATATTACATGCAAACATAAAAATTTTTATAGAATAATAAAATTTTAATTTGACATCTAAATTTAATTTCAAGAAATCGATGTTGTTTCTTCATGTAATTTACTAATAGCCTCAAATTTCATATTAGTTGCAAAGCTTTTGAATCAAAATGCATGACTTGACAGTTCTAGTCATTTTGAAGAGATTTTTATCATTTTAAGAAATGATAAAAAAAAACACAATTTCAAAAATTTTTGTCGTTCTTGGAATAAATTCTAGGATGTAGATGCACATACACTGCATATATTTTAATTCTGAAGAAGAATTTCCAAATTAGTAAAAGTACAATAGTTAATATGTGATAGTTTGTTCTATAAAAATTATTGTGTTTAGTCAGTAAAACAGATTTTAGGATCACTTTAATTAAGAATATAAAAAGAATCCAATTAGAACGTCATATAATGTATATAATGTATATAATATTATATAATATTATACTTGTTATACTTACATAAGTATAACGTAAATGAAAAACGAAAATTATATTCTTCTGTATTTTCATCAAATATATAAGTAATTAAATGCATTTAGTGCTGTAAAGTGAATGTCAAGTGCACATCTTACCATTTTTAGTAAAAAGAAATTAAATGCATTAGTAAATTAGTAAATTCTTCCGATTAACATTGAAATTAATAAATTAATTATCAATGAAGAAATATACACACATATAAAGGATTTAAAACTTTAATAAATGTTATGTTTTACGATGTTAATTTTTTATAAAGCACGAGGGTGACAGACAATGCACTGGTCTATCATGCCAGAGATTCCGAGTTCGATCTCAGTAGGAATCAAAATATTTATACTCTCCTCTCTTATGTGTCTCCTCTTGGAAAAGGCAACCTTCCGAGAGTATCTTTGTTTACAGAAACACCTTTTAAAAAAAGCCGCTTGAAATCCGCATCAAAAATTGTAGGTTCTATATGTTCGTGGCAACTGAATAATCATGCAGCGTACGCATCACAAATGTATAAGAAAGGTAAATGTATAACATAGGCATAAAATAAAATGAAAACGAGAGGCCAAGTCATAACAAATAGTTTCTATCAAATTCTAATATGATAATCATGCACTGAAAAAAAGAATGGCTGTTGCAACAATATAGATAGTAAAATATGGCATAGCATTTTTATATGGCTGCAGCAATCAGTTTTTGGTTGTAGCAGCAGTTTTTAGCGTTAGCCTATCGAAATTATATATTGCGGATAGGCTAATGCAACTAAAAACTTTGCTGCTACAACCAAAAACTGATTGCTACAACCATATAAAAATGCTATGTCATATTTTACTATCTATATTGTTGCAGCAACCAAACTTTTCTTTCAGTGTGAATATGTGATTATCCACGTGTTCAACGATAAATGTAAAAAGTTAAAATTTAAAAATTCTTACAATAATAAATTTATCATCCGATGGCGAGAAATATGTTGAGTTTAGTATGTAATTCGTATTAAATAAGAATTTTTCACTTTATTTTAAGTTAATTTAGTATGTAAAACTGTAAAATAATATTATAATAACTAACGTTATTATAATATTAATTAATGACTTTATTAAATTATGAAAGCTCTGAGATGAAACGAAAATGAGAAAATATTAAGTTTTATATATATTATTTTATTAGATTATTAAATGTATTTTAATTATCTTAATATCCAATTTGCTCGTCTCTTGAACGTTAAACTATGTCATTATTGCCACATGTAACGTTAAATTAATATTACTGTTTTTATTGTATTGTTTTTATTTTTTCGAGAGCTTAATTTAGATTATCACTGTGTTAATTAATATTACATTTTAAATATCATATAAAATATAAATAGTTTGATAAATATTGTTGCATTTATATATATATATAATTAATTTTCTTATAACGCATATTTTGAAAGAACGCAATGAGTACTCAAATGAATACTCAAAACTTTATTTTAAAAAAAGAAACAAATGTACTCACCATAGAATGAAAATATTAGATACACGTATAAGGCTCAGATTTATTTTTAACTTAAAATGAGAAAACTCATGCTTTGACACGGTCGTGATGCCATTTGAAACGATACTGAGATACTGAGTTTAAATATGTTCATTCCAAATTCCTTTCTCCTCTCTCTCTCTCTCACATAGAAACTATCATGACACTTAAAAATCGTTGCTGATAATCCAGGTGCTGACTACGATCCATTTCTTGCTAGAAATACTTAGAAGCATTTTTTGAATTGGTAAAATTCTTATCTTCAGACTTATCAATCAAATATCTCGAAGCATTGTAGATTAAGTGGATTGCATTCAAAATATCTTTAGCCATCAAATTGTCTCTAGATTATTGTCAATGTGCTTGAAGTGCTTAAAAGTTGCTTAAATTTGCCGCAATATTCAGAAAAGTGAATTCCAATTTTTGCCTTTCAGATTATCGATTTTTATGCCTAAAAGCGGCAAAATGTTTAATCCGTCACTAGAAAAGACTATTTTGAAATTACTATTTCGAAAACAAAAGCTCAAATTGAAACAAAGCAAAATGCATTTGAAAATTAAAAGTTAATAAAATTTAGAAAAAAATTTGCTGCTACAAAGTCATCCTCAAAATTATCATTTTTTTCTTCTTCAATATTATTTTTCTTAAAATTTCGACGTGATAATCGATTAATGAATATATGTTTTTAGCAAATAAAAAAAAATACATGAGAAATGATCTATATTTACATATTTGTATTACAAAAAAAAGATTAAATTTTTTTAGACAATGTTATTTGTCGGGTAGTTGCGAGCTTTTTACACTAATATACCATACTACTATTTTAAGCATGCTTGAAAAAAAAACCGATTAATTATGGAGTTGCCAATTACAAAAAAAAAAGCTAAACTATTTATTTCAGAATACATTCTGAGAAAGTTCTTTATATTCTTTACAAACATTATTGTAGAGAATAAAAAGTTTCCATAACTTATCTTAAGAAGTATGTTTGATAGAATTAAGGCATGATATTACAGGACGATAATTCGAACAGAGATATCTTTTACTAAAGACATTTCTTTTAGGAACGTATCATCTTTTGTATCATTGTAAGAATTTGTTATTGTTGGGTCTAATGCATGATTAGGAATGATACTGAGCGGTTACAAAATGTACTTGTCATCTCAAGGAACACATTAAATATTAAGTATGGGAAAAAGTTCGTGGCGTTTTTCCCATTAGATGACATTAAAAAAACGCCACGAACTTTTTCCCACACTTAATAATAATAAGTTAAGAGAAAGTCAAAATGATGATTTTTTTTATTACAAAATTTGACAGTTCATTAACTTTAAGTATTAAAATAAAGTCATTTTAACATCCTTTTGATTTTTTATTGTTACATGCTTATATGTTTTTCTATGAGAGCATTCTATGAAAATTATGATCATTTAATTATCGAAATTATGATCATTTTTCGGAATTTTTCGGAATTTATTGAGACTAGACAGATAGTCACAATAAGAAACAGCAGATAATTATAATTATAATCCTGATACACTCGGCTAGGAATTTATACATGTTAAAAGACAAATCAAAAATATGTTTTACAATACATCAAAAATATAGTAAAACGAGCATTCGAATGACTTTTTACATATTTTATTTTAATATGCACTATATCAATTATTTTCATTATGTTTATTCTTTTTGCTGCAGTATACACGATACTAGTCTCTAACGAGACTAATTAAGCATCTCAAGAAACACACAAGTCAAGAAAAAGTCAAAATGATTTCATTTTGACATCAAAATGATAATTTTTTATTACAAAATGACTATCGGTATTAAATCAAATTGAAATCATCTTAATTCAATAAACAGTCAAATTTTGTAACAAAAAATCGTTTTAACTTTTATGATGTCAAAGTGTAAAGTTATTTCGATATTTTCTTGATTTTGTTTTTTGGATTGAGAATATTAAAATTATATATGCATATATTAAATATATATAAATGTAAATAATAAATGTGAAAATTTAATATTCACATTTGGTATTTACATCTCAACGAATCTTGGCAATAATCAGTCATATACGTGATGGCGCGAATTGATCTATATTTCTAACAATAAATAAGTTTTGAATATTATACATATACATATATAAATTTTTATTATAATTAAATTCAAATTAAAGCATTCTAATACAATTATCTTAAAAAATGCAATTTTTACTGTAAAATTATAAGACAACAATCAGCAATATAATGTAAAATCATAAAGAAACTTTGATATTTACGCGATATGTATGAAGAAAAGATATTCTTTAAACAATTAATATAATTGTTAAAAGTAAATGCTAATAATAAAAATTGTATTGTATTATATTTTGCAACACATTTTATTTTATAAAATTATAAAAACAATGTTTATTTTTATATTACAATAGACAATATGCTAGATAATATTAGGTGTAGTAAAAAGAAATCCATTATTTTTGCATGAAATTGAATGGAAAAATAATGGATTTCTTTTTACTACACCTAATATAATACATAATTCATGAAAATATATGTAATATTGATATAAACGTATAAAATGATTACATGCACAATTTTTTTATAGCCTGTAACTCTGTATAAGAATTGTAATCGTATAATTACATCACAGCGTTTAAATACGTTACAAATTTAAAATAAAACATGCAAAAACAGAAAAAAGAATAAATCAAAAGAAATTAGAAAGAAATATGTTTTATATAGCACATTATAAAAATACATTTTATTTCTGATTGTTTACGCAAAGGAGCGCAAGATGTACCGTTGAATTCTTCCTTATTTGATAAACAACAAGGATATGTATATAATGCACTTTATGCGTAACTCGGAACGCATCCAAAATCATGTGTAGGCTAGGGAATTTCATGTTTGATATACATCATAGTTATACACATCTGTATATAGCATACACAATAACATAACTCATTTGATTTGATACAACTATTAAATATAACATTAAATAATAATTAAATTATATATACGCGCGCGCGTATATATATTAAATGATTTAATTTTTAACTTAATTTAGTTGCCTTTAATTTATTAACTTTTTTTCAAGTTAAAATTCTTTCATTTTTCTAAATATGCCAATATTATTTCAATATAAAATCTTAAATTTTAAACAGAATTAATTTATAAAGAATTCTATGATTACGTGATAGACACAATATACGTAGTGAAGATAAATGGATTGGGTCTATCACTAGTTCATGTTTATTTTTCATCACGTTTATTTTTGATTAGAGAATGCTACCAGAGCTATTGCGTCATGCTATTTTTGTTTTCATCTAATGAATAATAAAAAGGTAACAAACATTTTTTATTTACATATAATTTTCAAAGAACGTGTAGATACAGCCATATAGATTATAAAAACTTACGTTTCTAAGAAAATTACATTTTATTTTTCTTTTATAATATAAATATTAAAATATAAAAATGTATGTAAAAATACTAAAAATCAGATCTCCATTATATAAGAACTGTCTTCATTATTTCATTACATAATTTACAAATGAAATACTAAATTTATCTCATAATCTAAATATATCATTTTATTATTTAAACTAATTTAGTTTATAAACAACATTAATTTACCTTATTTTAATGATATGTTAATGTTTAAAAATAACGTTTCAAATTTTTTTATAAAATTTGCATAATTTATAAATTATAATCTAATTCTTTCTAGAGATAAGCGTATATTTAAAAATTAAAATATTAATATAAAATAGAATTATCGAAGAATTATCTTTATTTTATTATTAGACATAAGTTTAATAAAGATAAGCTTGTTATAAAACTTTAGAAAAGAATTTAGAATTTTAGCTTTGACATTGATTTCCACAAATAATATTAATTATTATATAATGTCCGTATTAAATCTAATATTTTAACATTACAAAAAAATAATGGAAAAAGGTAAAGGAATACTTTCTAGTGATGGTAACGCGTTACTTTTATGAAGTACCGTTCCCAATCTTGAAGTATTGTTATTCATTATAAATATAAGACACATATGAGATACTGTCATAAAAAATAATATTATACATTTAAATTTAAATTACAACTTTATCTTCATATCTAAGAATTTATCATCAGTAGGATTAACATGTGCTGTTCAGAAGACAAGTCTATCGAATCGAATATTAACTCACCCTCATTGCCTCTTCGATTGACGACGATTTTGAAAGCGAATTCTGAGAGTGCTATAACAATTACACATTATACAATTTTATTTTAATTATATGTGAATAATATTATTCTTAAAGAACAATTTCTATTTAAATTCAAAATTAAAATAAATATAGGACGAACTACAAATTATCCATTGATTTTCCTTTGAATCTGTTTCTCTGATAATAATTATAGTAGAATAACAGAACAGCAATCAGTAATACGATTATTATTATTACAAGATAGATATATATATATATATTTGTGTACTGTGAATTTCCAATCAATACTTTAATATTTATCGGTTATTGAATCCGGTTTGACCATCTGAATAAATGCATGTCACATTTTTCTTTTTTTAGAATGCACATATAATCGCAAAACTCTTTGTCACAAGGCTTTTTAACTATAAAAAAATAGATATAATTCAACTTTACTTGATAACTTCATTAATGTCTCTACATGATTTGAAATATTACCTATATTACCTGTATTACCAACTAAAAGGTTGCCTGGAAATATTAAGAATGGCTAATTATCTGCAAACATTATTTGTGCCTACATCTAATGTTTCGCACGATTTTCTATCATACAATTTACAACTTTGCAGTTGACTGTTTATACCCGTCAACCAATAAAGCGACTGTTCAAAAATACTAATGCCTAATGGACGATGCATCTAAAAAAGAAAGAATATTATTTTAAAGAAAAAAAGGATTAAATAGTCATACAATTTTTACATCTTTTTAACATGTTCTAAATTTAAGAAATGGATCGATGTAGTATGCCTTCCAACAAGCGACACAGTTATCATGTCTTTGTTTAATTGGCAATTAACAAGGATATAATGATCCATTGTGTCACACCATGTTATTTGTGTTGCTTGTTGGAAGACACAATGAATCTAAAATGAGTATGAGCATGGCATATTAGCAGCGTATAAGACTATTATGTCAGAGATCCCGGGTTCGATCCCAGATAGAACCGAAAAATTTTCGGTATACTATATACTCATACTCCTCTCGGCAGGAATAACAAACCACCGAGAGTATCTTTGCCAAGTACACTTTTCTAAACAAAATTCGGAATCGACGTTCGGAATTGCTAAATTGCAGGTCTCTTATGACTGTATGAAAGAAGTCACTACGCTCAGTTTTATACCATGGGACTTAAGGAGAGATAATAAAGCTATTAACATATATTGGTACTTAAAATCGTACTGCTACAAATGGACAAACCATTTAGCAAAATATAGTATATCGGACGGATATGATGAGCGCCGATATAAAAATTATTCTGATATAGGCTTCATGAGTGGAATAACAATTACGTAAAATTATCTAATTAGACTTCCATCCATTAAATAATTTGATAGTATTATTAAATTATTCAATCAATATAATTAGATTTTACGTAATCTATTGTTATCCCACTCACAAAGCCTATATCAGAATAATTTTTATATCGGCGCTCATCATATCTGTCCGACATATTTTGTTAAATGATTTGTCCATTTCCAAAGTTATTTGAGATCAAAATAGCCATCTACAACATCATCAGCAAATTTAAATTTTGAAAATTCTAACCAAAGTATCATTAATGTCCATCAGATTTGTATCCAGATAGACAAATTTATCAAAAGCATGTATTGCAAATCATTTCTTTAAATTTTTTGGAATGAAATCCCACTCTAAGGGTCGGTTATTCTACAATCTTCAGAATAAATTATCCATTAGATAAATTGTATATGATCATTTTAATGGATAAACAAAAGAATAAAAGGATAAGAGTACGAGAAAATAAGAAAGTAAGAGAGTGAACTGAAGTTTTTCGAAAGGTGGAACAATCCAGCCTTAGAGAGTGAGATTTCAATTCAAAAAATATAGAGAGATGTATTGCATTATGTTAGTCTAGCAACAATAGAGTACAAATCTACTACCTTTTTAATATTGGTAGAAATGTATCAGAAACCGAGTAAATTATGCATTATTACATGGAATCGAAGTATGCTCCATTTCTATTGTTTATATTATGATTGACAAGTCGTAATAACAGAAACCAAGCTTAAAGCGAATAAACAAACAGTTGACAAAAATTCGCTCTATATCATTGAATTTGTGGGCATACTACTAGAGTTTGCTATCTCGGTAATATGCCAGATAAATGGAAATAAAAAAACTGTAAGAGGAATAAAAAGATACGTATTAATCGAGTCAATTAAAAGGGATCCTATTTTTGCCTTATTTTCTATTTCCAGAGAGGCACACCTTTGTTTCTCGAAATTGCACATCTTCAATAAAATAATTAAATAAGTATAGATTAGGATATTCTGTTGTTAACAAGACATTGAGGAGAACGCAAACAGCGTATTGTTTATCATGCCAAAGTTCCCGGGTTCGATCTCAGTAGAAACCAAAATAATTACGCTCATGTCTCCTCTCGGAAAAGGCCGGCAATCTCTCGAGAATATCCTTGTCTCTCTGGAAAAATGCGCTGTTCCGAACTGTCATTAAAACTAGGTCCCAGATAATTGGAACAATTAAATAATCAGCGTATGCACCACAAGCATATGAGAGAGATGTAACACTGGCCAGAGACTTAACTTAAGAAGAAGAAAAGATATTAAGAAAAAATATACCTGAATCGTATTCGAATGATCATTATCATTGACATAGACATTGTCGGTTATCCAATCAATCGTCACTGTCTCTGAATGCTCAGCAATAATTGTGAATATTTCCTTTGTTCCAATTTTGAATTTCTTAATAGTGCCAAATTCATCTACAATTATTTTTTTTTTACATTTGAATAACATAATTCTTTTGAAAGACTTTTCTAGTTCTTTTTCAAAAGTCTTTTGAATCTTCACAATCAATCAATCTTGCTCAATCGTTCTAGATATCGTAATATAATTAACTTAATTTATAAGATTAAAACAAAAAGAAAATAACTATTACTCTAATAGACAGAATCGTGGATTGCATTCACGTCGAATCCATTTATACTAAATCCCGTTAATGAATAGATAACATCGAGTGTAAATTAGATGATATCTTTCTAATATCGTTATCAGTAATGGTGAATATATTTCATTGATCCTAAATAATTAATAATAATACTTATTATTCTAAATAATTTACATAAATGTTTAATTGATTACCGATAGTTTTGCAAGAAACATTGTCGCTAAGGATGTAATATTCTTCGTAACAAGAACACTAGAAAGAACCTACTGTATTTCGACAAAATTGCGAGCAAATTCGTCATCGTTTTCACATTCGTTTATCCTTCGTTCATCCTCGCAAGAAGTTGCATCAGCAGCTAAATGATATCCATCTGGATAGCAAACATCGCCTCTTGGTGTCTTGTAACATAGACGTTCACAATCACTGTCTATTAAACAAGTGATCTCTACACAAAAAAATATGACGCATCAGTAAATAACGTAAACTAATATGTAAGACATAAATTTTTCAGATTTTCAAAAATTCTAGGATTCTGTCTCTTTCACTTTATCGACACTTTTTATTTAAAATTATCAATGTAGAAAAATTATCAATGTTGAATTTATATTAAGAAAGGTGCAATTTCAGCGAATTCTTTAAAGGCAAAAATATTGTAAATTAATTGATGAATTTTTTATTAGGAGCATTTTTAAGGGGTAAAGGTATATAGCGCATAAAAAAGATTAACAACACACGGCATTTTCATCGCTGTCATCTGGACAATCTTGAATACCGTCACATACTTTCAAGTACGGCAGATAAGTGCCGATAGAACATTTGAATCCATCATATTCAGTAGATTCCATGATGGTTTTTTTACCATCGACACAACTTTTCTTATCTGAATTATCGTCACAATCATGCTTTTCGCATTCCCAACTCTTCGGAATGCACTTCATTCTGTCACAATTAAATTCATCGTTCAAGCACACTTCACAGTTATGCTTGTCATCTTTTCTCGGACAATTAACTACGTCATTACATTTGAAAGACAAAAAATGGAATATATTTGAAATTAAGATTATAATTTATTTTCTAATGTTCATAATTATTTATTTACATAACAAATCTTGCAAGAAAAAATCTTCACAAAGAATAACTTGATATTTGACAAATTTTGATATTTGTACATTATCGATTATTCTCTTATGTTATAAATTAAATCAATTTACCTTACTTGTTTAGAAAGACACAAATTAGTGCTGAGATATTGATACTCGTGCTTGTTGCAATTAACTAAAGAATCTGGAGTCACTAAGCAATAATTTCATCGCGGCTATCGAGACAATTATCGAATCCGTTGCACTTCAGTAGAAGAAGATATATAATAATCATTGTGACACTGAAATTGTCCGTCTAAACATGTCAAGTTCTGCAGTTGATTTACATATCTCGTGTGTTTCGTCCGATGCGTCCTATTCCACAATCAAACTTAAATACAAACATACAGAAAAAAATATTACTGTTGTCACAATCGAAAATAATGTATTAAAAAAAATCCGTTCTTCTAAATGTGTTCATAGATTCAATGAACTCATTCATTAGTTGTGTATCATAAAATTTTATAGAAGTAATAAAACGCATTCATCATATGAAAACGCATTGTTTCATTAAATAATAAAGTTTTACATTAGCTCAATAATCGAATTCGTTATATTCAAGAAAATTTGTTAAGAGGAATCGTTAGGGTAATATTTAATTGTGTACATATTCATTATTACAATGAATTCTAATAATAGTTTTATAATTCATATTTATGCTTTTATAAAATCTAAATCATTGTGAAAATAAAAATGTTGATTAAACAAATTTTAGTGAATTTTTTATTATATTTACATTTTTATATTTACATGTTTGTTCAGTGTGATAATTTTTCACCCATCATTTGATTGTGATAATCATAAAATGGACGTATCTTTAGAGCCATGACAGTTAAAATATGACAACCTTACGATTATCATAATCTTTGATTTTATAAAACATACAGCAACAGAATTGCAGAAAGAATATTGCTCTAACGTTTTCAGTAAGACAATACGATGTTACTGCACTATTGCTAAAATGAGTTATGTTATATACAAGAGAAATTAATAAAAAAGTTCATATATTTTGGAAATGTAGAGATGCAGTTTCTTGAAATGTATTTCTCTTCATTTTACTCTGGCAGCTTTTTTTGCAAAATTATACTCCAAATTAATACTATTAATATCTGATTTTATAAAATAAAGTTTATAGAAAACTTCAATAGAACAACAGCAGAAAAAGAGTTTTATGCCCAAACGTTTATCCTATTCTTTCTAAGTCCGTCAAGACAAAAAATCAAAGAGATTTCACCGCTTCGTCCATTATTATATATCGATGGTTTATATACATGCTATTGCGCACGAATACAAAATTAAGAGGAAAAAATATTATTGCACACACAATACTATTGCAAACTGCATTGCACACATAATGTTATTACGAATTACAGATTATTTCTAAAGCAGAAAATTTGTTTTTAAAACAGAATTTGTTTTTAAAGCAGAGAATAGTCGTACTTGTCATAAATAATCGAGCTGTCGGCAATAATACATGTAGATGTGATTCCATCTTTTGAAATTTTTATTTATGCGCAAAAGTATCAATTGCTTATAAGCAACTGATCTATAGACAGTAACGTTATGTGTACAATGCAGTTTGTGCACAGTAGCATGCATGTAGGCAATCGAGTTGTAGGCAATAATTTTTGTACGCCGATGAACACTGTCAGCAAACGTGACATAAGCAATCGATTTGTAGGCAAACGAAGTCCTCTCAATTTAAATAAATAATGTTATAATATAAATTTCTCAATTTAACTATAAATACGCAAAAATATTAAAATTTTAATTCAATAAATTATATAATAATATGTATATTTAAAAATTTAAACACACGTCTGTGAGAGACGTAACTCAAGACTTAAATACTTATAAAAGTTAGAATACAAACCTCCAACCGAATGCAATAAGATATTTTATAAATTTTTGTGAGTAATCAGACATTTGATTACTCACAAAGAGTGTTTTATTGTCTCTATAGTAACACATATATTTTTGAATATTTTTAGATCTTTCAAAGGATTGTCCATAAATAACTTTCTTTCACCGAGTTCATTCATTTTCATTTCATATACAGAATATTTCGCCAAATTAGATAAAAATATATAAATAAAAGGAGGCGATTTTCTGAACGTATCTGCAATATGTAATATTTTCTTTATAACTGTTTTATTAACAAACATTAACGATCATTTTGATCATTTTAAATGATAAGCGTAAATCAATTTTAATGCTATACTTTTCTTCATACCATGTAATATACTCAGAAATATAATCCTTAAAATAAAAAATCATCATTGTTAGGGTTCTTACATTGTATACCTCGATAGAGCTGTTATGAGCGTTTACTATGTACAAGTTATTACTAATATAATCAAATGTTATCCCGTTAAGAGGATATAATTCATTCATCGATATCATGTGTTCAAAAATATCACTGATTAAATCAAAGCGCATGACAACTACTTGTGGTCATCTATTGCATAATATGAATATCTGGTCTAAATAAATTTTTAATTATAAAAGTTAGTAACGACAAAAATCAATTATTA